TGAAGAGTTGCTTGAACTGCTCTTTAATTCACTGACATTTCGGAGACTGAAACTTCACTTGTTCAAACCGCCTGTAAGCTGTGGAGATCCTCTAACATGCGATATGACAAACGATGGGTTCTCCTCCCAGCTATGCTGGTGATCAATATTCTTCCTATGACTTTCCTCCCTCTTTCCCCTTGACCATCTTCATCTTACAGGCATTCAGAGATATGAGAAGGGACCATTTCTCTAAGTTTATACAGTGCCAGTACAGCGAGACCCTAATTCTTGTTGAGGCCACATAGAGCTGTGACATCAACGGGACCGTACAATAACCCGTGACACGGCATGGCAGCAGTCACTGTGCTTGGCCTACCAAGAAAGCTAGAGCAGTTGAATCATTTTCTTCTACTTTGTATTTTACTCTCCCACACAGTTAATCCAGAACACTTGGGGAAAATACAACCCTCTTCACACACACACACACACACATTCCAACCCCGTCATTTGTGATCATACTTTGACAGTCATGCATCTACCAGTAAGTTTATCTCATCTTCCTGTCACCAAGGAGGTCAGCTCCCCTTTTCTTTCTAGCACAGAAACCTTCCCGGTAGGTGCAAATGAAAAGGAGGGAATCCTGTGGTGAGCATGCAAGGAATCTGCTGCCCTTTGTATGGCTGCCTGATGCTGCTGGAGTGAGAATGGTGGCAGCAAAGGTGTCCTGTCCCTCACTTAAAAGACAAAAGGAGATACCACATCAGCAGCACTAGCGATTCTTGTCACCAAGGACTGGTTGTCCTGGAGAGTGTTGAAAGAGACCCAGACCACACGCCATGCCTGCACTCCCTCCCCAAACCGGCTAATCTTTCTAACAAGACGTGTGACCCCCGAGCACTAAGCACCGCTCGTCTTGGGGAAACAAGGCACATGGTAAAACATTGCCCTCCTAAGTGCAGTTTCCTGCTGGATTCAGTGCATCCACCTATTAGCACAGAAGTCAGCCTACAACGCCTTTGATAAATATCTGGGAGCAGAAACACCACGATTAAGTGCCTCCCCAGGGCTTTCTATTTTCCTTCTAAATAAGCTTTGCTCCAGGGCTTTGTTTCTCTTCTAAATAAGCTGCAGTTTTACTTTTCTGTCAATTTACCAAAATGAGAATATTTCAGGTAATCTGCTGTAAAGTGTAATCTAGTTTTCTGGTAATAAGCAATAATTTTAGGCCAACCATTAAACATTCCTCCATACAGAACTTGAGTTGTTTATTGCTGAAAACAAGTGACATCAGGAATACCGATCCAGAAATGAGTGGCTGCGGAAAGCTTTATAAGCAAGCCACTCCAGACCTCCTCTTCCGCTGAGCAGCTTCCTCCAAATATACACGTGCCTCCATGTATTTTTGCAGGCACAAGAAGTATGTTGTGATCTTGGCTAGGAGTGACTAGGTTTTTTTTAATAAGGGGACTCACTTGTCAGTAGGCAGTTATCATCAGCCAATGGGGAACACAATACTCCTATTTCTCCTCTGTGCCAATATTTATATGTTCATATGAATAAATATTCACTGCTCCTGTGTATCAGCTTCTCTATTTCTCCAGAGGCAAAATTTCACAAGATGTCCCTGTGGCAGGGAAATGCAAATGTATTCAGTAGCGTGAGAGGTGAGAGAACCACAGCATAAGAGAGGCTAAAGAGATGAGGAAGGTCCCTAGCAGACTTCCTTGGAGTAAAAGGTGTCTCCAGATGTTCCCATGACTCCCCCTGCTGTGCAGCAATATAATTTAGCTTCTTCTCCATGCTCACACTAAAAAAATCAGGCATTGTGTGGATTAAAATGGGTTTGACCAACCCTGTCTGGGTGACATGAGATTACAGAGCAAGAGAAAAGCTCTACTGTGAAAGCACAATGCACCAACCTACCAAATACCTTCACATTCTCCCAAATTATTAGGTTGCATGCTCAGACCAACTGCATCTGCACAATTGCTCCCAAGGAGTAAAGGTACGTGGGAGTTACAGGACATTGCAATGACACCAATGCATACAGGACTGTGTCAGCTCAGCTCTGCACCTTCAGGACACGAGCCAACATCTCTGTATGAACCTGCTGTGGTGCTATAGACCACCTAGTGAGCACACAATTCTCCTCTCTGCATAAATTACACGGTGTGGATAAACACCCTGTTACTTACTGCCAGCCATTTTCAGTGGCATGGCTTCAACATGCCTAAATGACCCTTAATATTCAAGAATTTACTTCTTTGGGTCAGAGATAAATAGACTTTGGTCCTAGGAGATGTTCTTCCTGACCTACAAGCAAGAAAAGTGATGGTTCAGCAACCATAAAGCTCCTCCACACAGACCTCTTCTGCCAAGGCAGGACAGTTTGCCCTGCATGGGTTCCTTTTACCAGAGCTACCAAGGCTCCAGACATTCCATTTCTCTGCTCCCCCATCCAGCCCTCTTGGCTGGAATGAGGACACTGCTTCCTTTAACTACCCAGCTGGGAATACCCTCTGCAGGATGCCACAAGGAAAGTACGGAAGAGCCGATACCAGACCAGACTTAATTCAGCACTAGTGCCCCAAATTGGCTCCTATCATTAAAGGATGAGCTTGAAATTTCTACACTTGCATCTTCAAATTATCTCAAAGGTGCTTCACAAATAGACTACAAACCTCTTTCTTTGCTCTTTTTAACATAGAAATGATGTCTGAACTGGACATTTACAGGGAAGAGAGCTTGTAAATGGGAATTAACTGTTACTCACAGGTAATATTTGCAGGGAATGGTATTAATAACTGCCCCTTACACTCCTTCCAAGCCACTCTCCAGAGAAGCAGCAAATTCATACAGTCACGGGTTTGATTAGACACAGTGATTTTTACATACTTAATTTTGAAAGTTTGGTTTGGCTGACTTTTTAAATTACTGTCAATCAGAATACACTCACAATTGGTCCTGCCTATAACAGCCATATAGCTGAGTTTCAAAACCACAGAAATACACGTGATTTTCTTGTCTAGAGCCTTCCAATTTTCCTACATCCATGCATTTCCTACTAACAAGCTGCAGGCAGCTTGCCATTCAGCTTGCGGAGTTCCTGGCTTACAATTCAGAGAGGCCTCACCCTCTCCAGGATTGAGAAAGAAGGCAAGATTCATCTCTGGCATTCAGACTGATCCTACCCTGGCCAAGCACGGCACACTGAGGTACCAAAGCCAGATTTGGGGCCACCTAAGAAAGAGGCACTGTCGATCTTCTCCAAAGAGACTCAAGAACTTGCCCAAGATCCCCCAAGAAATTTGTGGCAGAACAGAGAATGTCAGCTACTTCCTTAGCACATCTGCATCCCCAAAAACGGGTGAATGGTCTCAGTCATGTAACAAACTTACTGTATGAGAGATCTGCTGCAAGACTGCCTACAGGGAACACAATTTCAGTCTGGTAAACAGGGGAGCTGTACCTACAAGCACCGTAAGTGTTGCAGGCAAAGCTGATTGGAAACACTGAGGACATAAGGAGCTAAGACAGGCAGGTAAGAATTTCTTTTCAATCCTTCCTGCACATAAAAGCATGGCATGGAAAGCCAAAGGTAACATCTCCCCTGTTCTCAAGTTGTTTCAGATGCCTGCAGCGGGCCACTCGCCCACAAGGGATGAGGCTATGCACACAGCTATCAATCGTGCTGGGAAGTTAAATGATTCAAATAAATTTTTCAGTAAATCAATAAAAGAAAGTCAGGAAGTCCCACCTCTGCCAAAGTCTTCGGTCCATGTTCTCCCACCCTATACAACACAACTGCTTCTTGTCTGTCATATTACGAACTTTCATTATCATATCCAGGAAAACCTTCCACTGATAAGGACCATGTCCTCCCATCCTACAACCTGGACGTTTGTGCAGTGGAGGTGTTATGGGGCCAACTGCAAATCTGTCAGTGTAAGGGTTACACTACCAGCAAACACCGAACCTATGCAGCTTCTTGAGAATTTACCACTGACATTTGGAAGCCAAAGCACTCGTATAAACTTTTAAAAAAAATGCTGTACATTCCTCTTATAAACCCTGGATGGAAGAGTGAGAAGTGGTGTGGGAAACTCTGGCCTTTAGCCAAATTAGAAAAGAAATTATTCACTAGCCCTGTCAGTTCATTAATCTAGTTCGGATATAAATTTCTATTATGGGATATAATTGATTCATAGCCATAAACACACTGGATGCCCGAGATCTTTGCCCAAAAGTTTTCATAGTCACAAAGCCTGCACTTGGAAAGACTTGTGCTTCCTTCAACATCCAGGAGCAGACCCCATTCATCTCAAAAACATCAGCCAACTCATGTTTCTAACTTTAGTTGTTCCTACTGACAGTTGAGTAACACAGGCACCTTCCAAACAATCCTTTGATTTGCTGACATCACATGTGCTCTTAGGAGGATACATATAGCCAACATCCCCTGCACAAATGGACAGAGCTGATTAACTACTGATGTGTGGGAGATTACAAGCTTAAGTGATGTATGATCCCTTACAGTGGCCTAAGAGCCAAATGAGTCAGAAGACGTAAATACAAGGATTCTCTCTGGGTTTCAAATTACCAAAGTGAAAGTCTCTTGAAATAGGATCAGTTCTGAGGTAAAAATAACCCCACAGAAACTTCTGAATGTGTTGAAAAAGCTAACCATTGGGAAGGACAACTATATAAAAAACAATCTTTGAACCCAGTAAAACAAAATCTTTGAACCCAGTGAAACAAAATGTGGTCCTGTAGTGTAATTCTGTTTCAACCACATTCCCGAACTGCTATTGACTAGATTTGCAGCAAAATTAAGAAATTCATCAGCGAAACCTAATTCAGTCTTGTCTAAACTACAAAGATAAATTATCCACTAAGCTGTGTGAGATGTCGGTGCTCCCATGCTGGGCAGCACTGCTTAACACAGGTCTATGCAGCACCAGCACAGACAGCAGCTGCCTGGCCAAGGAAAGATGAAGTCCAAAATGAACATGGAATACCTGAAGGGAAGTTCCAACTGAACAGGCAACATCCTCTTTGATTAAAGTTGCATAGGAGTGGGGATAGCGAGAAGGACACATCTGATGACTTGGCACAATTCGGCCATAAAAAGATGACTGGATGCTGATGGTGGTTCTGTGAGGACATCTCAGGGAGACATATTCCCCATCGCAGGCATGGTCAGTGTAATTCTTGAGTACTTGTGATATGTAACCTGCAAAAAAAACATGACAAAAACCGCCATTAGTGAAAGGCAGTACATATTTAGGTGATTTACAGAAGTGCAGTCTAACAAACACACAACTAACAAGCAATGGGGGACAGATTTTATTACTCATCTCACACACATGCAAAGGAGAGAGACAATGGCATGGAGGGAGGGAGGCTTGGTGATTGGTCTTCAGCCCTGTTGTATATCCTCAATGGAAGCAATATTCAGGCATTCCAAACACGCAGTTCAATCATACCACCTACTTGCAATGGCACAGCTATTAAGTTTAGAGGAAATGCAGCTGAGCCAGACTCATACTACATGCAATTTTTGGCCCCCAAATACAAAACAGACATCAATAAACTGGACTGAGTTCAGCAAAGGTCCACCAAGACGGCTGGGAGCTGGGCTTACACTTGCCCTGTAAGAAGGGGCTTGTTCAACCTGGAGAGAGCTTTGAGGGAAACTAATAGCAGCCTGCCAGTATCAAGGTTATCAAGGAGATGGAGCTCTTCAGTGCTGCATGGTAGGAGAATGAGAGATAACAGGCACAAAATTAAACAAGAGAGTCTCAGACCAGGTATAGAGAGCAACATTTTTCATTGTGAGGGCAAGCAAAAAATGGAGCAGAATGCCCAGAGAGTTGCAGAGTCTACATCCTTGGAGGTTTTCAAGACTTCACTGGATAAAGCCCTGAGCAACCTGGTCTGACCTTCTAGTTAACTCTGCTTTGAGCAGGAGGTTAGACTAGGGAGCTGAGAGCAGGAGGTTAGACTAGGGAGCTGAAGTCCCTTCCAACCTCACTTTTCCTGCGAACGTATGATCATGGGCAAGAAAGGCCCAGACACAGAGCCACTAAAGGGGAAAGTTGGGGTTACAGCTGGTTGCATGAGGTCCTATTCCATCACAGAACATCAGTCACATCTTTGATCTCCCCTCACAATACACCATTTTAATTCTTCTGGTTGCACCTGCTGTTCTAAGCCTTCGACACAAAAGCTTTGCTTTCCCTCCAATTCTGCAAAGTTTCAATCTTTTCAGAAGGAAAAAAGTATGCAGAACCAAATCTCTCCTTGTTTGTTAGAGAATGACATTGTCCACAATAATAGAGTTGTTAACAAGAATAAAGCATGGGGACAAAGCCTCATTAAAGTTACACTGAGTTGAAAGGGATGACTGAACTCAGGTTTCCATGGCAACTGCCAAACAAATCCTGACTGCCACACTTACGCCAGAGGTGAAACCACCGTGGTGCTGGTATAGAGACATATGTGCAGGGAACTCTGGAGCATGTCCCATGTCAGTGTTAGTCACAGTCCCATTCAACCCTGCAGAATTCTCCGTAATGAGTTTGGAAGTCCCCTTCCTATGACTGGCCACCAACACAAGTCTACTAGTAGCAATCCCACATCACAGAACCACTAAGGTTGGAAGAGACCTATAA